AATTCCAAAGCACAACGAATCGTGTTTGTTCCAAATGAAAAGGTTAATCCGGTAATTCATGTGTCTGTGTAGAGGGGGTCTATTTACTGTACAAGCTTCATCTTGTCAAGGGTCCGGTGATTTTGAAAGCCTTTCTGCAAACCTCCGCAGCCGCATAGCAATGTCGCACATCTAATCGTGCGACCACCAGACCAGCAGTACATCATCCGTCATAAAAAGCCAGTATCCGTCCTCGTCAGTCACCAAAAAAAAGAAAAGAACCATCGCTCTTTTTCTCATTCCTGCATCGCAAAATGGAATCCGCTCCTGCCTACACTTTCGCAGTCTCCCCATACACGTCACTGTACGCGAACCGTAAGAAATATGCCAACAACCACATACGGCCGACTATTATGACTGCTCTCCACCCAACAACCATTGCCCCCCTCTCTCTGTGTGTCTCTCTCTCTGTCTTTTCCACTGTCTCTGTGTGTGTCTCTCTCTCTGTCTCTCTGTCTCCCTCTGTCTCTCTCTCACTCGGTCTGTCTCTCTCTCTCTCATTACATTCGCTCAACTTAAAAAATGTTGTCTCTTCCAGTCATTTTACCTTATGAAATTATTCGTTTTCTCAATCTTCATTATTTTCATGGTGTTTTCTATTGTTATGTCCTAGCTCAATTTCCTTCTATTTATGATCATTTCTCGAGGGTACGTTACTTTGGCTGCACATAATTCATTTTCATTCTTGCCTTCGCATATGAGTAGCAACGAATCAAAAAGCATTGCCCGGAGACTTTACTTCTTCCCTGCCCCACTTCTATCCAATATGCCCCCTTGCTCCCCATCTGTGCGGCATCTGATGGTTCTGTAGTATTCCGGAAAAATGATTGCCTGTGTGTATGTAGAAAGGAAAAGGACATATGGGTACTAGTTAAGAGTAACTTTCCATCACTGTAACCAGATACTATACAGCCAGAAATTGCAACAACTAGGCAAAAATGACAGAGTCCTGAGACATTCGACGTTTCTACACCTAGCTTCAACACATCTCCGTTGCGCTAACCAACAGCCTTCCAACTAGGAAGGTTCAACGTTATGGAGAGACCAAAAAGGGGACGGAAAAGCGCAACGAAAACTAGCACAATCTACAGTCCCTGTAACAACAATTTGATAACCGCAATCAGTAATACAAGCTGGATCGACATTTGTGTGCACTTTATTAATGTAATGTAAAACTGTGGAGACAATGTGCCATGAAACGATGAAAATGTGAAGAAATCGTTTAGAGAAAAAAAAAAGATTCAGAAAAGTTTTCGTACAACACTCATCAGGAATCTTCGTTGTACTAAAGGTAGGGATTCCAGTGTAAAATTTCATATCTCAAGAAACACACTCAAACAAGTCTCAAAACCTTCCTGATTCTGATGTCTTTCCATTGGTCCAAATTTTTGGGAAATTGGTCAAGAATGAAGAGAGTTATGACTTGTCATACACTGGAAATGCGAGCCGTATTTTCTCCTGGAAAACAATAGGAAAACTTGGTAAGTACCAGCACTAGCAACACCTTAGCAACGAAAGAATGTTGCAAAAAACAAGTTGTGCTGAACAGAATTATTATAAGTGAGACCAAATACATGTACATGTAGCATGGAAAATATGTTAGGCCTGGTGCCGGACGCTCGCGGGCCCTTGGCAACAGCATAGCAACAGCACAGCAACAGCATATGAGCGTATAAAAAGAACAACGTAATGGTGTCATTACATCATATAATCAAGCCAACAACTAGGAGCCTTGAAAAACGTCTCAAAGCAGAAGAAACCTAAGGGTTGGACACATTTACAGATATTCACGGTGATCGCTAACGTTAAAAGGGGTGACTACGACTTCAACTTCAAGTGTATTGGCTGAAAGAGAGGTACTGTAACAGTTCCCTGTTAGCGCTAACCTTATCTGCCCTCTAGCTCTGTATCTTGCACCTTTCCTTATCCTGTCAGCACTCGCGTTATCACCTTAGGGCACGAAGTGCCTTATATCAGTTGTGTTGCCTTGAGCAAGCATTGTCTTTTCCAAGAATACCTTCAAACGGTCACACTGGTAGCAGAGGATGGTTTCGATCCATCGACCTCTGGGTTATGGGCCCAGCACGCTTCCGCTGTTATCGTGAAAGACTTCAGCGACACCCAATCTTTCACAGTTCTTCGGTTGACCCGCTGTGATGCTATCCTGAGCAAGCCATGGCTGACCAGACACAATCCGGATATCAACTTTCAGACCAACGAAGTCAAACTGAACGGAGAGCCGCTCGTTGCTAAACACCCTTCCGGCCAAAATAGTGAAACGGAGCATCAGGAGTCGCCGCCAACTGAGAGCATGCTCATATCTGGTTCCCAGGCTCGCCGCGAGTTGAGGAAAGGCGCGCAGAGAATCCTGGCGTGGGTCAACGCTACTGACGAATAGGAGGAGGACAGCAAGCCATCAGCCGCCATGCAACACCCAGATCATCAAGAGCAGCTGGCTAACCTTCTGCGGCGGTACTCTGACATCTTTCCAGACGACCTGCCGACCGAGCTTCCGCCAGAGAGGGATGTCGACCATGAGATTGTGACTGAGGAGGGTGCCGTTCCTCCATCACGGGCTGCCTACCGTCTCCCCAAACCCGAGATGGACGAATTGCAAGCCCAGCTCACGGAACTCCTCCGCAAGGGCTTCATCGAACCCAGCAAGTCACCATACGGTGCCCCAGTCTTTTTCGTTTAAAAGTCTGATGGCTCATTGCGCATGGTTTGTGATTGGCGGAATTTGAACAGGATCACCATCAAAAACAAAGCTTGCCTCCGAAACATTGATGACCTGTTTGATACCATTCAAGGTAGGTCATACTTCAGTAAGCTGGATTTACGCTCGGGATGCAATCAGCTTAGGATCCGTCAGGAAGATGTACCTAAGACGGCTATCAATACTCCCTTCGGTCATTTCCAGTTCCGGGTCATGGGCTTTGGATTAACTAACGCCCCTGCCACGTTTCAGTCACTGATGAACAGTATTCTCCAAGCGTACTTACGGCGGTTTGTGGTAGTGTTTCTGGATGATATTCTTATCTTCAGCAAATCCTGGCAAGATCATCTTGAACATATCCAGACAGTTCTTGAGACGCTCCGGAAAAATAGGCTATTCTGTAAGCAGTCGAAATGTGAGTTTGGTGTCAAGGATGTTCTGTTTCTAGGGCATCGCATCGACGGTGAATGTATCGCTCCAGATCCAAAGAAGCTTAAAGCAGTGAGGGAATGGCAGCCACGGACAACAGTTACGGAGGTGAGACAGTTCCTTGGTTTTGCGAACTACTTTAGAAGATTTATTGAGCACTACTCTACTATATCGCAGCCATTAGAGGAGATCACTGGCAAACATGCCAGGTTCGAATGGAGTGGCCCCCGTCAGCATGCATTCGAATCCCTGAGACAGGCCTTGTTGAGTGCACCGCTGTTGAAACTAGCAAACGTGCAGAAGCCTTTCAGAGTTGCAACAGACGCAAGTGATTTTGCAATTGCAGGCGTCCTTCTCCAACAGGGGGAAAGCGATAGTGCTTGGCAGCCTGTGGCATATGCCAGTCGTAAGCTGTAACAAGCGGAGCGAAATTACACTGCTGCAGAACGCGAAACCCTGGCGGTGGTGTTTGCACTGCGATCCTGGAGAATTTATCTATTCCAGCATTTTGAAGTGTTCAGTGACAGCATGGCCGTAGTCCACTTGAGCACAAAAGCCAATCTCACTAAGCGCGAAGCTAGATGGGTTGAATTTCTTGCAGCCTATGACTTCACAGTTAATCACAAACCCGGCAAGGAAAATATGGCTGATGCGTTATCCCGCCGCCCTGATCTGCGCGGGTCAGCAATTGGCAATGTAGTTGAGGAAAAGGATTGCCCACCCATCCTACCAGCACCCCATTTGAATATGATTGAGTTTGCTTTGGAACTGAGTGATAGTGTTGCTGAGATGATTTCGGAAGCATATCAGAATGACGAGAAGCTTTCCCCAAAAAATCAGCGGCTGCGCGGCGATTCCTCTGATAATCTACACGAGCGGTACTATTGGGAAGAAGAGTCCAGGTACCTATACCTCCGTGCAGCCCCAAACAATCGATAGTGTGTACCCAAGTGTGCAGTATAAGGCTTCAGCTCCTGCAGGAGTACCTCGACTGTGTTACGGCAGGCCACCAGGGACGGGATCGTACATATTTCCAGCTTCGTCAATTCTTCTATTGGCCCAAGATGGGCTTTGACGTGAAGAAATTTGTTAAATCTTGCGGCATATGTCAGCGCACTAAGGGTGGGTTGCCTAGATCCGGTTTGCTGCAATCGCTCTCAGTACCAGACACCCCCTGGAAAGATATTTCCATGGACTTTATCGCTGGCTTACCCCAGACCCCTCAGGGCTTTGATGCAATTTATACATTTGTTGACCGGCTTACAAAATGTGTCCATTTAGTCCCCACGACTTCCAAAATTGACGCTAAGGGTTCTGCTGATTTGTATCTCCAGAATGTGTTTAGATTACACGGTTTGAGTTCCACTATTGTTTGTGATCGGGACCCAAGATTTACTTCTGAATTTTCCGGGAATTGTTTCATCAATTAGGTACCACCTTGTCGTTTAGTGCTGCAAATCACCCACAGACCGATGGGCAGACTGAGAGAATGAATAGAGTAATTGAGGACGTGCTTAGAGCGTTTGTTAACCACAAACAAGATAATTGGGACAAGCTTCTGCCTCTTTGCGAATTTGGAATTAATAGTTCATATCAGTCTTCCACTTCTAGCACGCCGTGTTATCTAAATTATGGACTTAATCCCAAGTACCCACCAGATTACCTGGCACGGAGGGGAGGAGGGAGTGCCCCAGACTGGATCCAGGATCGGGCGGATGCCGTCAAGTTGGCAAAGGACGCCATGATTGCCGCTCAGGCTAGACAAGCTCAGTATGCAGACAGGGGAAGGGTGCCCAGCAACCTGAAGGTTGGCGGCATGGTGCTGGTGTACAAGGATTTCCTAACAACCGCAGAAGCCCGGGATCAGCCTTCACAGAAGCTACGCACTAAGTGGTTCGGGCCCTACCCAATCATCAAGAAGAACGGACCCAATGCCTATCAGCTGGATCTACCCAGCGCTATTCGGTGCCACCCTGTCTTCAATGTCACTGCTCTGCGCCGGTATGAGCAGAATACTATTCCCGGCAGGCGGCAGCCACCCCTGCCACCGTTCATTGACTTGCACGGTCAGACCAGATACCTGGTGGAGAAGATTCTTGACGATCGCCAGCGAAGGCATCAGACTCAGTACCTTGTCAAGTCGCAAGGGAACACAGACGAAGAAGCCACCTGGGAGCCAGAAGGGAACTTGCTGGACGAGGCCGGTAGGCCGATAGTTGCTCTGAGGCGTTACAGGGCATCCAGGGCATGTTAGTGACACTATGGTTACCGCGAAATGTTACTCGCTCAAATTCAATTGCACGTGTACCTTGAGAATTCCCACTGGATCCTTGTTGTGTTAAGCCATCCATTCCCCTCCTGTTTTAGATTTTCCCCACTTCCGCTATCTTCACTCGCCTGACTGTCCTTGGTTACCTTGCACGGTGCTTCAATTAGATGAGCGTTGTTGGGTTGACACGATTACATTTGATTATTCCCTTTCCACATATTCCTCGACTCCCTGGAGGCACCTGTGCCTCGCTTAGGAGGGAGGGATGGTGTAACAGTTCCCTGTTAGCGCTAACCTTATCTGCCCTCTAGCTCTGTATTTTGCACCTTTCCCTATCCTGTCAGCACTCGCGTTATCATCTATATCAGTTGTGTTGCCTTGAGCAAGCATTGTCTTTTCCAAGAATACCTTCAAACGGTTACAGTCCCAACCAAAAGTGTATCTATGTATAAATATTATTGCACGACTAAAGAAGTCAATACGTGAAATATTGAACGAGTAATGGACCTCGGCCTCGCCTCGTTCATTTACGAGGTCGCAAGCAGTGGAGCGTACTCAACAACATCCATGACGTAATGAGGCTGTGACATGATGGCAGTGTGTTAAGTGAATAGGCCCCTGTAGCTAGTTGGACGGCCACAAAACCACGGGAAATGTATACACACAAACATTCGATGTAGTGTCATGAACGTATACCACCAGGACCGAAATACCACGTCGGTGACGAGTTACGAAACAGACCAGTGTCAATGTAATATGTCCGTGTCTGCAAAAGTAAAACCTCCTAATGTGGATGTATGTGGACAGAACATTCAAAATTAATATTTTAGAGCTTATCAGGAGTATCGTTGGAGTCAGCGGCTTCTAGCGATATGATTTCCACATCGTCACCGCATTTCCTAGTTGCTTTCACATACTTGGACTATTTTGGTGGGTATCAAGAATCGGGTATTTTGTTTTTTACTGAAGTAAATGTGTATGTTGTTGTCGCAATACTCCTGCATGTTCTCTTCATACATATTCGCTTTGGTTTCAGGAAGCGGCGCGTTTTTGCCATTTCTGTTTTCTTTTGACTCCTCGCCTTCTCAGTCCTGGGTCTTGCTAGTACCTCTGGCGTTTCGTCTCTCAAATAAAGTGAAATAATTATTTGAAATTTCCGTTTCGGCATGGCGGAATCAGACACACCAGTACTCAGCCCTGACATTGCTGCCCTCACCCAGCTCATGAGACAGCAGATGGAGACCGCCGCCACCCGCGAGCAACACCTGACACAGCTCGTGGAGCGAACTTTCAGGAGCATTTCTCAACCTCCACCACCGCAACGCCCACCCCCAGCCCCACCGGCACGAGAACATGTACCTGCGGCGAGACCAATTTCGGTCGATCGCTCTCTGTTACTTGCCTATGCCTCTCTCGCAGAGTTTGCCGCATGGGAAGGTCTTTGGCGGGACTACGCCCGGTGCCAGCACCTGGATTCCCAGGACAATGCCACCATAGTGGCAACGGTTCGTCAGTGACTGGACGAGGACCTCCGGAGATTTCTTCGTAAGGGCACAATTCCTCTGGCTGACAACCACGACGACGACGATCTCATCAAGGCTGTACAGGCATACATTCGCGGCCAGCGGAACCCTCTGCTGGACCGGATCGCCTTCTATGCCCGCCAACAGCAGCATGGAGAGTCCTTCGATCACTACCTGACTTCCCTAAGCGAGATCCACAATTGCTGCGATTTCAGCGAAGCTGCACTCTGCAATTTCTGTTCAAGCAGAGTATGCCGCCAATGCCAGCAGGGACAGCGTACCAGGTACGACGAGACCATGCGTGATCGCCTGGTTACTGGCATTCTCGACACGGAGACACGCCATAAGCTCCTTGCCACTACCGATCTAACGTTGGAGAACGTCATTAAATTGTGTCGAGCGGAGGAGGCAGCCTCTCGGACGAGCAGCAGTATCCCCGGCACTAGCTCCGTCAATGCCGCTCGGAAAACAAATTATCAGCGGTCAAAACACGGCAGTAACCCGCGACAGCAACAGCCGTCCGCCACGCTATCGCAATGTCCGAATTGTGGTCGCACTCCCCACGCCAGCAAGTCGCAGTGTCCTGCACACGGCAAGAAGTGTAGCGGCTGCAAGACTATTGGACATTTCCAAGCGGTGTGCAGAAAATTCCGCAAACCGGCTGACCAGTCCTCGCAGCGCACGCTGGGACGACTACAGCTTCGCCGCGCTCAGTGTGATGCATCTCCTACGGTGCCAGTCGACACACAATTGTGCACTGAACCTGACGCTACCTCCCTAGAATGGATCCCGATACGGGAAGTGACATTGACGCTATTGGTGTCGATCAGTTAGCGCATCTCGGTGGTTTTGTGGAGAATCTGGCCTCAGACCATGATAATGTGCATGCTGCTAATGGTGAACGTCTCGTTTCAGCTGGCAAGATCTCTGCCACTCTCACCATCGGCTCGCTCAAGCATGATAGCACCATCCATGTGTACCGTGGACTGCGTGAACCCCTGTTGTCACGCCAATCGCTATACGCCTTAGGCCTCTTACCAGACTGCTGGCCCAAGCAAGTTGCGCGTGTTAGTACCAGCAGCACACCACCTCCAACGGCTCCCGTTGTGAGGACCGGTCTCGTGAACACATCTGACCCTAGCAAGCTGGCGCAGATCCGTGCTGACCTACTGCGAGAGTTCGCAGACGTCTTCGACGACACGACATTGAAACCCATGTGTGGCAAGCCAATGGACATCATTCTCGAAGATGATGCGAAACCTCACCGAGTCTACACAGCTCGTCCTATCGCACATGCCTACCGTGAGCAGGTGAAACCCCAGCTCGACAACATGGTTGAGGAAGGCATCATCAAGACAGTGTCAGAGCCGCGCGACTGGTGCCACCCCATTGTCGTAGTCGACAAGAAGAATTCTAGTGAGAAACGTCTGACTGTGGACCTTCAGTCTCTCAACCGACAAGTGAAGCGTCCCACCCACCCCATGCAGAACGCACGTGATGCTCTCTCTGGCATCGGCACAGCCCGATGGTTCACCAAGTTTGACGCCCGTCATGGCGATTGGCAGGTGCCCCTGTCTGAGTCTGCCAAGTCTCTCACTACGTTCATCACGCCGTGGGGTAGATATCGATTCTGCCGGAATCCACAAGGTCTCGTGTCCGCCGGCGATGAGTACAACCGCCGCACCGACGCAGCTTTCGACCGTTTGACCCATCTCATCAAGGTGGTGGACGACGGCCTCGTTCACGATGAGTCATTCTCGGACCATGTCGCTCACGTCCGTGCCGTCCTGGCCCGTGCACGCGAACACGGAATTACTTTCAGTCAAAAGAAGTTTGTCTTCGCCGCTGCTGAAGTCGAATTCTGTGGGTTTCATGTGTCGTCCAACGGATACACCGTGCCAGCTGACAAGACATCCGCTCTTCAGTACTTCAACCTACCCAGTAATCGTACCGACCTCCGTTCCTTCCTCGATCTGGTGAATCAGTGTGGAGAATTCACCCCACGGATATCCGAGCTCGCAGCTCGGCTACGTCCGTTATTGAAGACCACGAATGAGTTCGGTTGATGATACCACAGCGGCGGCTGGAGCTACGGCGGAGAGCAAGCCAGGTTTTATCATCATCTTGGTTGAGCCGGTCACTCGAGCGGCTAGCTCGGCGTCAGACAAATGACCTCCCTCCTCGTCTTGAATCGTGGTCTTCACATTGTCGATAGCATCGCTTTGCGCGGCGTAAAGAGTGATGGTCTAGCCAGGAAGAGTGTTGACGAAAACCTGCATCCCACCACGGAGGCGAAGTGCCAAGTGAAGAGTGGGCTCCTGCTTCCGACTGCGTGCCGGCGAAAATCAAACGCTGCTGGTCTTGGGGAATACCCTCCTTGTCTTGGGGAGCAGCCTGCCTGTTGTCGTCCTCATCAGCTTCGCCATCACCACCGGTAGTATACATGTAGTTAGCGGGTCGCTTGGAATCGCCATCGGAGTCTCCAGTGGATGCCATGCGGAAGGAGGGGTGATCCACGCTAGCACCCTGACTGTGCTGCAAGCCAATAAGCAGGGCAAAGCCCAGGAAGGCAAGAAACATGATTCTCATCTTGATTCGTCGCAGGGAGCTGCAGCGGGTTGAGCCATGGGGGTCTGGAGTCGAATCACGTTGTTTTATTTAAAACTACACCGCTGCCACCAATGTAACAGGTAGCCGAGTGGTAGGCGCGGTGCAATTAACACGAGTTATCCTTTATTATTATTCCCGTAGCTATGCAGAAGACGTTACTTCATTAACGTCTGGCGCTAGTCAGGGTCCACAAAGCTTTAATTTGGTATTTGTGTGTTTGTTTGTTTGTGTATTTGTGTCACGCCTGGCGCTATCCCGTATCTGTCCCGTACCGTACCATACCTTCAAACACAGCTGGCCACATACGGCTGGCCGCAATATTCAAATAGGGCTTTCAAACGCAAGATCATAGCGTGAAGCAACTTGGAAGAATGAGTATGAATGCGAAGTGTATGGGGGAATGCATGTAGGGCGATAGTGCGGTTTCGAATCCCAGGTTATGCCTTAAGAAATAGGAGAATTGAAAAATGTATAACATCCTTATCCTTTTTTTGCCTAGGTCATCAAGGCGGTAGACTGTGTCGTATCATCCTCGACCGTACCTGTCCCGTACCTGTCCCGTACCGTACGGCTTGCTACAATGCATATTCAAATAGGGCTTTCAAATGCAAGATCATAACGTGAAGCAACTTGGAAGAATTAGTATGTATGCGAAGTGTATTTATTTATTTAATTCTGCACCTCGTGGCATGTATCGGGGGATGCATGCAGGGCGATAGTGCGGGTTCGAACCCCAGATTATGTCTTAAAAAAATGAGAAATTTATAAGAATTTATAACATCTCTATGCTTTTTTGTCTAGGTCATCAAGGCAAAAAAGCATAGCATAGGGCCCTGAGCTTCCAAGCTCTCT